GGCGGCGCGACGCTCGTCCTCCCCGCGCCTGCGCTCTGAGTCCTGCGAGCTACCAGTGGTCCCCGTCGGTCTCCGTGCTGCGGGCGGTCGTCTCTCTTCTGCGTCTTTCCCACAGCCCTGTCTGGGTCCCGGGATGCCCGTCAGTGACAGACCGCCATTTACTTGGCGCCCTGGTCTCCCAACGTCTAGGCTTGTCACTGGCATCCACATGTAGGAGCGTTGTCCATGACCACCCACCATCACACCCCAGATTCCACCCGGCGATTAATAACACCTCAGAATCCAGGAGTCAGTCCCCCTCTCCTCGCCTCCACCTTAGTCCAGCCACCTTCTGTCTCCTGGGGGTCCAGGACCTTCTTCCGGAATCTCCCGCCCGCAGTGTCCCTTCCCCCTCCCCCAGACCCTACCCCTCGCCTGGCCGCGCTGGTCACCAGGGCAGGGCCTGGCCGGCCCAGGGAAGTGTTCAAGGAAAGATTGCTGAGTGAGTGACTGGAGCTGTGGCCAGTGCCAGGAGGAGGCTGGACCTCCTGACGGGTCTGTCCTGGCGTCCGGTTCCTGGGTGAGTAGAGGAGATGCGGGCGTAAAGGCCCCAGGCTCCAAGGAGGGAAGCGGGGTGGGGGCGGTGGTCTGAGCACCTGGAACTCTCCGCAGGTGTCTTCCCAGCCCTGGGAAGCCCCCTGTTCCGTGCTCATGTTGAAGACGGGTGCTGGGTGTACAACCAAAGACTGCGGCAGGCAGCTGTCACTAGTTTATCTTAAAGCCTTCAGGTAAGTGCAGCTTCTCACAGTTCCTGTGTCCCTTTCCCTCCTGGGTTCTCTGCTCTCGCAGGTAAAATAAGAGCCCAGGCAGGCACCTTGACCAGCCAGCAGCCACCACGTTGCTGAGCTGGTTCGGGACACGGGGTTCCTGTGCGCAGGATTCAGGCCCAAACCCAGGCCACCCATGGGGGGCAGTGCTGGCATTTGATGTGTTTTCATCCAGCTTGTGGGACTTTTGAAACTTAAAAACCACAGTTACAAAGATACAGGTGTGCACTGTCATCAGCGAGACCATGTGAAGACGTTTAAGGGAACGAATGTTAGCCTCCCTGTGTCGAGAGTCCCCAGACCACCCTACGCCCTGCTTTCACTTCTCTTGAGTTTATATTCAGAACTGGGCCTACTGGGTCCCATGGTGATCCCACGTTTAAGTGTTTGAGGAACTGCCACTGTTCTCCACAGCAGCTGCCCCCTTTACTGCCTGCCAGCAGTAAAGGAAGGCTCTGATTTCTCCAGCCTCAAGTCTTTTGTTATCATCTGGGTCTTGACGGTCAAATACTGAAGGGGGCGTGGTGTCAGATCATAGGATTTGACCTCAAGAACTGCTGCTGGGGGGAGGGTATAGCTCAAGTGGTGGAGTTTAGCATACACAAGGTCCTGGGCTCAACCCCCAGTACTTCCTCTAAAAATAAATAAAGTCTAATTACCTCCCCACCAAAAACAAAAAGAACCACTATTGGAAATGCATCCTGTCCCACCTTGAGAACCAGCCCTGCTGGCCCTCACTTCTCAGGGAACCTGACCCCCATGGACCCAGGTTGACCCCAAAGCATAGACTGTGGGTCCCCACGTCACTTGGCCCAAGCCAGGCCTCTGGGATCATCCTTGAGGGACTGGTCCAGAGGCCTGACTGGGAGGGTGGATGTGACCCAGAGGTGCCAGGGGCAGATAGCAGAGATGAGAAGCCAGGACACTTGGAAGGGACAGAAGCTGGGCAGCTCCTCCCGTTTGGCTGGGCACTGCTGCTTTGAAACAGTCTCTTTGCCCAGGCCTGCTTGCCCAGTCCCCAAGCAGACACCCTGTCCTGCTCATTTCCACAAGGTGAAAAACAGAAATTAAACCAGGATGAGAGCCTTGATAAGACTTTTGGAGGCAGTCTCTCCTCTGGCACTGCTGACATCAGGGCCAGGTCATCCTCTCTTGGGGAGAGGGTGTCCCTGCCCCCCTTCAACCCCCACTCATGACAAGCACAGCCATCCCCAGGCAAGGGTCCCTGCAAGCCAATAGGAGGCAAGCAGGGCACTTAACTGGGGCACAAAATTGTGCAAGTACCAAAAACACCCATCAGGATTAATGGCAGTTAATGCAGCATTTCAGCAATCCAGAATGAACGCCAGAAATCCATGATGAACAAAGTACCAAATTTTAAAGGCAGATTGCACAGTGCTGGGCCATTTTGGAGTCCAAAACAAAATGGAAAAGATAAGCCCTTTATTCTTGGTTTTTTAATGTAGTTTTTGATGGTTGACGCTCCTCCCAGAACATTAAAGTGGTTGAAAAAGACTGAAGTTACTGAAAAGGAATTGTAAGTTTAAGCTTAAACAGTCTACTTACTCCAAACCTGAGTTTACTGGAATTTTACTTCTCCGGCTTTCACAGATGCAGACTCAGAAACGTTTTCATTAAAACCATTTACAAAAATACGTAAAAACTGTGAATAGGGGCTCACATGTCATTGTTTCAGGCTTTGATGGGGGGACTGTAGGGCTGTCTGCACCTGCGTGAGTTAGAAATCGTTGAAAAAGAAAACTTACTTCACATTCCATCACTTACAGGTATTTAAGTGACATCTGTTCATTGACGTCTGAAATAAGTCATCCATGGACACTGTTGTGATGGGATGACAGGAAGTGAATGTCCCTGGCTAGCTGACTGGTGAGTAAACTTTGGTACTCAGCAGCCGTTTAAAACCTGAGGATGCCGAGCGCTTCCTGAAGTGGCAGCGCCTCTGGGAAATAAGCTGTGTGTAAAAGCTAAGTGTGCAGAAACGTGTGCGGCGGCTGCCACTGCTTGTGTTAGAAACACACAGAGCCATTCTGGACTGAAAGTGTGCGCCCCCCCGAAATGACATCAAAGCCCTAACCCCCACCCCTGGCGTGGCTGTACCTGGAAATGGGGCCCCTACAGACATACTCAAGGGCAAATGAGGTCAGGAGGGTGTGGCCCTGATCCCACAGAATTCATAGAGCTCACCTGCTCACCCATCAAGGAAAGGCCGTGTGTGGACACAGAGAGAAGGTAGCCGCCTGCATGGCCGGAAGTGGGCCCTCCCCGGGAGCTGGCCCTGCCCCAGCCCTGACCTCAGAGTTCCCAGCTCCAGAGCTGTGAGGTAGTTCATTCTGTTGTTTAAACTGCCAGGCCTGTTGTGGCAGCTCCAACAGCTATTTTCACCAACAGAATGTTTCTCAGACTTTTCAAGAATGTGGCGACAGTTGGAGAGATCTACGTGCCAGGAGGGAAATGCCTGTGCCCACGTGTCCTCGTGTACCCAGCCGGCTCATTTTTGTGTTCTTTGTGATGGTTTAACACATCTCCACCTTCTGAAGTTCCCCATTCAAGACACAGAACCTAATTCTCCTCCCAAGAGTAGGCAGACATAGGGATGTGAGCCTAAGGAATAAAATGTGGAGAAAGCCAAGGCATGAGACATCTGAGTGGGTCACAAAAGGCACAGAGGCTCCCCCCGCTGGCTCTGGGGGAGCCGCCGCCCTGCTGGAGGAGGCTCAGGCAGCGTTGCGGTGGCCCCATGGGGAGGAGCATAGGAGGGGCCGCCCCAGAAGCGTACCCCCTGCCCGTCGTCAGGCCTTCAGATGAGGCAGCCTGGCTGATGCCTCATCTGCAGCCTCGCGAGGGACCCTCAGTCAGAGCCCCCTTAGACAGATCACTCCCAGAGTCTTACAGTGAGACAGTTTGTTGTTTTAAGCTACTAAATCAGGGAGTAACTTGTTAAGACAGTGAGAGGTAAGAACACTGTGCAGGTACCGTCCATTAAGCATGTTAAATAATATTTCTGCCGGCCACTGGGAAGCTCCTAGATTTGCACAGTTTTAGAGCTGAAAGGATCCCTGGGGCCCCTGGGCTTGCAGACAAGGTAACCAAGCCCCAGCGTGAGCACGTCCAGGTTTCAGAGTGAGTTTAATGCTGTGTGTGTTCACACACCAAAGCTATTTTCACAAACACAGTCTAACTCGTGCTGTGAATTTCCTCCAGGTCCATCCTGAGCGCGTGGGCTGTTCCAGAGGCAGATGGAAGGAGGCAGCACTGCCAGATACCTGGAGGGGAACAGAGCAGGGTGAGCAGCAGGCTCCCGGCTCCCTCGTTCTTTGGAGAAGGAAGGTGCTGGGCACCGAGGAGGGATGCACACGCTGCGGCCAGGCTCTGAGACGGGATCTGGCTGTGAGGCCTAGGAGTCTGGGAGGCGGGGTTGCACATGCTCCAGACTGTCAGGTGGACAGCACAGCACCAGCATCATCTGCTCACAGCTGCCCATCCGGGGGCCAGCCTCCACCTTCCCCATCTGTAAAATGGGGCATCCCTCCGTCCACCCAGGGCTGGGCAGGCTGAGACCCAGAAGCAGTGCCCACTCCCCAGTCCCACAGACGGAGGCTGCCAGCTGGCCCCTCTGCGCTGCTGTGCAGGTGCTTAAAGAGGCCTGTGCAGAACTCCGCCCTCAGGCAGAATTCTCCAGGTAAGCCCTCCAGCCCTGCTGCCCCAGCCGTGTGGGGAGCACGCCTGCGGGGGTGGGGGGCCTGCTCCTCCACTGCTTGTAATCACAGGCTACACCCACCAACAGCTGCTAAAACTTACCAGCGGGGTTCAGGGGGGTCAGTTTAATTAATCATTCTTCTTAAACTTGCCGTTGATGTAGGGAACCCAGTCCAGAATCAGCCTCCAGTCAGTGGCCCACACGAGCCCCACGGTGCCCACAGCGCCCCACATGCCCGCTGTCGGAATCCTGCAAGGACAGTGCAGGTCAGGCCCCCTGCCCCTGGTAGCACATCTGGACCCTCCACCCCAAGCTGCTTATTTATCAGGTGGCCACCACGCACCGGGCCCTGCCCAGCCTGTGGACACAGCCTGCTAATGCCCCCACAGGCAGGCACGATGACCCCAAGGCCACTCCATTCCCATCTGCTTTCATGTGGGATCTGCTTCAGGTTTTATCTGAGGAATTCTGCTGAAAATAGGAAAAGCCCAAGCTTATAACCACGAGGATAGCTAAGGTTTGCACGTAAGCACGTCATGCAGTTTACAGCAACTCAACCTGAGACAGTCATGGGACCAAGGGAGGTGTGAGCTGTTGATGAGGCAAGCAAGGCACAGAGAGGGGAAGTCTTTGCCCTGAGACACACAGCCCACCAGACGCAGAGCCGAGGCAAGGGGCTCCAAGACCACCACACACCACACTTAGGTCTCGCAATGGGCAGGGTCCAGGACAGCCCCAACGGTCCCACCCCCTCGTACAGCCACCCCACTTAGAGTGTCCGCAGGACCAGTCACTCGCCTCTAGTGAACCACACACGGGGAGAGCATGGGATGTCACTTCCGAGACAGGGTTATAAAGACTGTGGCTCCATCCTGGGCACTCTTCCTCGCTCCATCTGCTCTGAGGGGAGCCAGCTGCCACTTTGTGAGCTGCCCTGCAGAGGGGCCCTCCTGGCAAGAGAAATGAGGGTGGCCCCCTATCCACAACCACAGGTGTGAGCTTGGAAACAGTCCCCAGTCAAGCCTTCAGATGAGACCCTGAGCAGAGGATCCAGCTCAGCTGTGTCCGAATTCCTGACCCACAGAAACAGATACTGAATGTAAAGCCAAGAAGTTTGGCAGGCTGTTCTTTACACAGCGAGAGGCAGCTCTTACAGGTTCCATTGCTGGCCTGTGTAGGGTCAGTTTGTACATGGGTGCCCTCCTCACTGGGTCGCAGTAAACCGTGTGCCTGGGGTGGGGGTGGGGGGAGGCTGAAGGCTTGTGCTTCCATAGGACCAACAACCCCCGCCCCCTGCGAAGAGGCCCACACAATTCAGTTTTGCGCCTGGTGGGGTCAGGGGTCACTGATGCTTTTGGAACAGGCTCTGGGGTGGGTGTGGTGAACAGAAAGGGAATTTTTCCTCCCACAGGTCAATAGCTTTGAGAGCTATTAATGTCAGAGGAGCCTCCCTCATGGAGGCCCCATCATCCTAGCCTCCTGCCTTGGGGCCCTGTTGACCGGCACAGGGAGGAAAGCAGCCATGAACCTGACCTCCCTGGGGTGCCGAGGAAGGATGCAGAGAACGGTGATGCTGACAGTCCCTTGTGCAAGGACCATTCCTCCCCTTTCTCCCAGGGAGCGGGCTGACACGCAGGGTGCCCAGCTGCTGAGCTGCGGTCCGAGACACAGCCCCACAGAGCCTCCTGGGCATGAGTCCTACTTCCTGGGCCCTGCAAGCCAGTGGCGAGTGGGACAGGGCTGCACCCCAGCCTTGATTATTTGACATCAGCCTCGTAGGGTGGGTCACATCGGTTTACTTTTCCTTGTCCACGAACTAGAATGTCAGCCACAAAGGTTCCTTTTATCTCTGTGTTTCTGGCACCCAGTTCAGTGCTAGGTGCTCACCCACGCTAGGTGCTCAGTGAGTGCTTGCCAACTGACTAAACCCTGGATGAGGGTGTCCGCTGCTCTGACCAGTACGCATGGGAGCGGACCAGCAGCGCCCGAGGGCTTCCGAGCCAGGGCGGGAGGGGCTGCAGGGGCCGCTGGTGGTCCCACCCGAAGCCAGGGACGGCCGCCTTGGTCCGGGGCCAGTGTCGCCCCAGCTGTAAAGCGCCACTGTCACTGTTCACCTGAAGGTCCCTAGCAGCGCCACTGTCCAAGGGCAGCCCCTACCCGTCATCTCCCTGTCGGGGCTTGGGGGCACGACTGCCGAGTATAGGCCCCTGTTAACTAGCTCTCCGCGCGGCATGGGCACCCCCATCCCGGCTGCCACGTGGAGTCTCCCGAATCCCACCCGCCTCCCACGGGGAACGCAGGGACAGGTGCAGCCGCTGGCTTCACAACAACGTCAGACAAACGCAAAGGCAGTGAGCGTACAGGGTCAGTTTCCAGACCCCAAGAGCTGAGCGCGGGCGCGGGCCGGGTGGGCACCTCCCGAGTGGGCACCATCGCGGCCGCCAGGGCGAGCGGCTCCGCCTCGGGGTCGGGAGCCCGCCACGCGCGTGTGCGTGAGGGAGACCGCGCTGCCGCTCCGTGACCCAGTGTCCCGATCTGGGGCTGGGCAGGGCAAGGGGTCCGGGTCCTCACCAGTTTCTGGCCAGCTCGCGGTAGCGCGGGCCCAGGAACCTGCTCAGCATCGCGGCGCCGTCCCAGCTCAGGGTGACCCCAGCCCCGCCGGTCCGGGCGCACTGCGCAAGCGCCGACACCGCAGCGCGCAGGCCCGCCGGGAGGCCCCGCCCGGGAGGGCTGACGTGCGAGACTCGGAGTCCGCGTCGCTGCGTGCGCAGACTCGGAAGACACTTGGAGTCGCTTCCGGGGGGGCCCGGAAGTCGTGGATGAACGCAGGCCAGAGCGGGCGTGCCCGGGAGGTGGGGCTTACCGGCCACGTGACTCGAGGACGCTGACTCCACCTCTCAGCTCCAGCAGCCGGAGGGGCCCCCTAGCTGTGCAACCTCTAGCTGCTGTTTCTGGCCCGCAACATTTGTCTGGTGAGTTTGTGTCCTGACTGCGTGTCAGAACTGTATTTACAATTAAAGAAAGTGAGGCCAAACGGGAAGGGGCTTGTCCAGAGTCGCACAGAGGGGGAGGGTGGCGATTTGAACTCCCCCTTGGAGGACTTCGGGGTTGTCACTGGACTCGCTGTCCGCAGGACCTTGGCCAGGTGGCAGAGCTTCCCCAAACCTCGATTTGCTCATCAGTAGTTGTCTGTTGCTTGGAGGACCTGTCGGAAATTTTGGGGACGTTTCGTTTGAGAGTAATTCCTCATTCCTGCCTCAAAGGGAGGCTTGGCTTCTCACACTGTCAGCATTTCGGAACCTCCTGTTAGCTGACGGACCGGGGACAGGCGGGCTCTCCTCGCTTTGTTTCTGCCGCCCCAGGCTCGCTCGGGCTCGACTTCCACAGTCACCGCCAGCGTCGAATGTTGGGTTGGAGATGAAGACTAGACACCATAGGTTTTGTCTGCCCAGCCTGGCCCGTCCTCCTGGGATCGGCTTCTCGGCACCCTCCAAGACTGCGTTTCCCAGGGGCTGCAGGTTCCTACCTGCCCCTGGCCACCCATTGGAGGTTGGTGGGAGACCACCGTCTGGGCAAGGGGGCAGGGTACTCATTGCTACCGGGTTGGACATTTTTTTTTGTCCTTTTAAGTTGCTCTGGGGGTTTTGAGCTTGGGACCAGGGAAGACCCAAATAAGCCTCTGTCCTTGACGGAAACTTAAAAAGTGACATGTAGGGAACCACCCTGAAGATTGTTGAGAGAGGATCCATGAGACTGAAGAAGACCTGCCTGGAAAGATGAGCAGAGGAGGGCAACCTTGGGGCTGCAGATCCTGGATCCATCCATTTCTGAAGCTCTGTCTCATTGCTCCTGCTTGATGCACTTTAGCTCTTGAGGCATAATACTTTTTGTTTCAAGTTACAAAAACGAAATTGGTTTAGGAGGAAAGAAGGAAGTTTTATGGCATGTTGGATGTCTTCAGGCACAGCTGGATCCAGGAGTCTAGCAATTCATTATGAATCCCTCTCCGTCTCTCAGCAGTTCTTTCCTCTGTGCTGCCCTCACTCTCTGGTGAACTCTCTCTGAGCAGAGACCCCCAGAAACTCTGGGTTGACATTCCAGCAACCCTTGCAGGAATATGCCCTTTCCCCAGTAATTGTAGAAAGCAGTTCTCGTGAGCCTGCTGTGGAGGCAGGACAGAGTCAGCCCCTCTCATGTGGGGATGTGAGCTGGAGTTGGGGAGGATCCCTTAAAGAGAGCTGGGTTCTGTGACCAGAAGAGATGATGGAAGAGAAGCAGAAACGGTCACCCTCCCTTGTGCCCCACTGGCCCTCTGCCCAGGTGT